GCGCGCGGCGGCGCCCGACGCGCGCGACGCCGGCGCGTCGCCGCGACGAGGGGAACGAAAGGGGAGTCGAAACGTCACTTTACCACGCCCGACGCGCGCGATGGGGTCGACCTCGCGCCGGGACGCGTTGGCGCGAGCGATCAAGACGGCGGAGACGCTGGCGATGGCGAACGCGCGCGATAAGACGGCGGGCACGGTGTCCCTGCGCGTGGCGACGCCGGTGACGACGAAGATGAATGGTGGATTTCGAGCGAGCGAGGGGGACGAGCTGCGGTCGCCGCTGGCGACGCTGTCGCCGAACGCGCGAGCGCCCGTGGACGAGGGCGCGAGAGGGCGAGCGAAGGGTGAGAGGGTGACGACGCGGGGGGTGGAGGCTGGGAAGTCGCGGTTGGCGCGGTCGACGAGCGCGAGTGATGAGGAGACGCGCGCGGCGGATCGGGAGACGGCGCGACGGAACGCCGAGACGTTTGAACCGGTGGAGAGCGTGGACGAGGTTCTGGCGCGGATGCGATTGAAGGTGAACGAGACGCAAAGGAAGGAATTCGCGAAGATTTATGATGAGTGCTTGGAGGCGAAGTCGCTTCGGGTGGCGATTGAAAACGTGAAGGATACCGAGCTTCGCGTGGCGCATCGCGAGGCGCTGCGCATGGAGGAGTTCGTGCGCGCGAGCGTGGACGCGCACGATAAGAAGGATACAGCGATCGCGGAAGCGAGCGAAGAAATATCCAGCCTCAAGGCGCGTGCGCGAGAGAGCGAGCGCGAGGTGCGCAAGTTGAAGGCGGAGAACGAGGAGCTGGCGCGCGCGCTGCGGCTGGCGAAGAAGACCGCGTCGCCTGGTAGTAAGAAGCTCGTGAGCGCGACGACGCAGACGAGCTTGAGCGCTTCGACGCAAACGCGCGACGGTGGCCAAAATGATCAGTTGGAGGCTTTGCGACGTGAGTTGACTTTGGCAAATTCTCGCGTCGAGAGCGAGTTGAGACAACACGACGCCGAATTCATGACGCTCAATGACGAGCTCACCAAAGCTCGAGACGCGATGCGAGCGTTGGAGCGCGACCTTACCGAGGCAAAGGACGCATCCGCCTTCTATCAGAGGTGCTCGAACACCGCGGACGAGCGCGCGAACGTTGCTGAAGAAACGGCGTGCGCTCTGCGAGAGGAAGTGTTAGAGACGAGAGCCGAGATGGACAAGCTCAGGGTGCAAATCGAACGCAACGCAGTACTCATAGCAAAGGATCAAGAGTCGATTATGGCAGCCTTAGCCTCGGCGCAGGCTCGCGCGAGTGAGGCAGAGAACGCACCGCTTGCGCAGCGCATCGATTTCCCCGAAGCATCCGTGGCGACGGACTTGATGTGCAAGTGCGGGAGCGTCGCCACGGCCAAGCGGTTGAATGCGGCGCTCATGGACGCTGTCGCCAGGAACACCGAACTCCAGTCCACCATCGCGACATTAGAAAGTAAACTCGCGCATCGTGCGACAGAAGCAACCGCACAGGAAGTTGGGGCACTCGAAGAGCGCGCGAATGCGGCTGAGCGACGTTTGGAAGTCGCGCGTGCGGCGATGACGCGATACGTCAAGGAGAGCCAAAAGTGCTCGCCCGCGCCCACAGTGGCGAACACGATCGATGACCTCACGCCGTTGAAAAAGGCTGTCGATCAATGGATCGAGGTATCCGAGGCTAAGCACGAGTGCGAGCAAGGCGTGGATTCGGATGATGAGTTCGACTCGCCGCCTCGAAGACGCGGCTCGCTCCCGACGCCAAGACTTCGCGCTCGCGTCGCAATTCGTCGAACGCACGGTCCGCGCCCAAGATCGCTCCGGGCGCGTACAAACCTGCCTCCGACGAGGAACTTCGTCGTCGAGCGCGAGTCATGGGTCTGAGCGTGAGCCCGTTCGCGCGCGCGTCGCGAGAGGAATAAAGGCGTATAATGCAAATCAACCACTCTTCTGTACAACGCAGCGTCTCGATCGCGTCGATCTAACACCATCACTCAATGTTCAATACTCCGTCGGTGGTCTCGGTCCGAATAAGAACATCAACACCGCGCTCATCGTGAGCACGATCCCGCCCGCGACGAACCCCGCTTGGTTTGTCGTCGCGTCCAGCGCTTTGTCCACGCGCGCGCCCATTCCGTACTTCCCACCGTCGTACACCGGACTCTTCCGTCGCTCCGAGGGCTTCGTCGGTCGCGAAGTCGTCGTCGTCGTCGACGATGGCTCATCACTCGTAGTCTCGTCGTCGTCGTCCGCGCGCGCGGAGAGCGCGACGAAAGAAGCGCGTCGTGACGATGACGCGATGGATGCAACGCACGTCCGTTCGTCGATGCCGACGCGTTCGGCGATGCGGGAGGGGCGAGACGCACGGACAGACGTCGATGTGCGCGACGCGCGCGCGGTGGAGGCGAAAGCGAGGCGCATTGATCGCTCGCGAGGGGTGAAGTGGCGTTGAGTTGGACGCGCGGTACGAGCGCGTCGAACGAGCGACGGTTTTGGAAAAAAGTACAGATGATTTTTACACGCGTGATCGCCCCTCACGCGTTCGTCGGGGCTTCGTTCATGACGATGTCAAAATTTCGTTCCAAGGTTTCGTCGTCGACGTCCTCGTCGAAGAGGGAGACTTGCTTGCCAGTGGGCGTCGCTTGCTTTTGACCAGAGCGGCCTCGGACTAACGGCTCGCGCGCAGACTTCTCCTCAGCCTCGAGTTTAGCGTGACGCACGATGTACACTTCGTCCGAGATGTCTTCATCGCTCGATTCTCCGTCCGTAGAGGCGTCGAAGGCGGCTGTGAGCGCGCTCGCCGCGCGCACTCTCGGCGTGGCGATGGTTTCGTGAATCGCACGCTCGACGTACTTGGCCGGTCCTTGCGCAGAGATGACGTTGTTGATGTCGTACGCGTCTACGCCTCGCGTCGATGAACGTTTCCCAGATACGCTCACGGGCGTCTTATCTGACGTCGTCTTATCGCTCCTGTTCTTCGACCCCGGCGTCTTGAATTTGTCCGACGCGCTCTTCTGTTTCTCCAGCTTGGGCGCCGTCTTGCTCAGACGTTCCTTGAGCGACTCGACCCGTTTCTTCGCCGCGTCGATCTGCTCATACAGTGCCGTGGTGGAAATATCACTGTCCGAGTTGGTCTCCTTCGGGCCGATGCCGTCCATGACCTTGCGCTTCTTCTCCTCGGACGACTTAGGGTTGGTATCCGGCGACGCCACGCGTTTCAACGTTCCACCAGCCTTCGCACCGCTCAGCTCGGTCGTCGTCGTCGTTGACGGATCATTCGCACCAGGATTCAATCGTTTCTTTGCCGACGTCGGCTCCTTATCCTCCCACGCGTCATCCAGGAGCGCGAACATGGGGTGTCCGAGAATCACCTGCGCGCAGTTCTCCGAGTTTGCCTCCACCGTCGAACGCTTCGCCCGCGCCGAATCCCCTATCGTCCCCGCTCGCACGTCCTCGGCCTCGCCTTTATCCCCCGACGCCCCCGCGGCGTCATCGTTCCGCTTCATCGCTCGCAATCTCGCTTCGTATCGCGCGACGTGTCGATCGATTTCCCTCGTTCGCAGTTCAATCCACAGGCACTGCCACTCCAAATCTCTCCGTTCGATCCGCCACGCCCCTCCGAGACCAACCTTTACGTTATCATCCACGCCGTCCGCGCCGCCGACCTCATCCCCACTCGCTCGCTCGCCCGCTCGCTCGCCGTCGTCGTTCGCGCCGCCGTCCCGATCCGCGCGCGTTTCGCCACCCTCCGTCCGCATCGTCGATGGACGCGCGCCCGCGCTCGCGTGTACGTCCGCGTCCTTATCATCGCTCGAGTTTCCGCTCGATGGATCGCGCGAGGACTCTTTCGCGTGACCGAGAGAGTCTAAATCTTCACCGATCGACCGCCGGAGCTCGACGTCATCGCGCCGTCGTCGCTCGTCGTCCTCGCACTCGTCGTCGAAGCGATCGCGATCGTCGTCGGTGTCGGAGTAGTCGCTCCAGTGATCGACGCCGGATTTGAGCACGGCGCGCCACCGCGTCATGACGCGCGCGGGCGAGTGCGGCGGCGACGCGGGACGCGCGTCCAGGGCGCGCGAGCGCGAGACGGACGCGCGAGCGAACGGCGCGGGGACGATGACGCAGAGCGCGGCGTTCGTGAAGGGAGTGAATTCGTGCAATGAAAGGAAGTGCGCGTGTGCGCCTATTCGTCGTCGACGAGGCTGAAGCGAACCTTGAGATCGGGATTGCCGGCGTTGTAGAGCTTGACTTTCTTCCGTCGGACGTCGGTGGGTTTCACGGCGAGCGGGAGCCCGAAGAGACCGGGGCGGACGGATTCCTTCTCCATGTAAGACCAGCACCTAGTCGACATTTTCTTTTCTTTTTCTTTGTAGTGTCGGAGCTCGAACACGACGGCGGATCCTTCTGGCCAGTTCGCCGGAACGGAGTTGAGGACGACGCCGCCTTGGACGCGAATGACGCCTTCTGAGGTGATTTGGGCCCCGATCGGAGTGTTCTGCGGAGGCTCGAGCGCAGTGCCGTCGACATCGACGACTGTGATGCTAAAGTGCGTCGACGACATTTTTGGCGCGTCCTTGACGTTTGCAACTGATTCGACATGCACGCGGAGGCGCGAAGCAGAGCTCGGGCCGCGCGCCGGCGACGACGGCTCTTGGCGCGTCTCTGCTCGCGTCGTCTCAGCCGTCTCCGCGTGAATCAACGCCGCTGGTGACGGTGGTTCTAGGTCCGTTTCGGAAACGCCTAAGAGATATGCCCGCTTGGTCAAGTCGACTTCTTCTTGACGGGGAAGTTGACCTCCATTCACACGATGCTTCAAGAAGTGCATGAAGAGCGCAAAGTCGTACATGCTTAGCTCGCTCGCCCCTGGTGTGCACGAAATGTTCCAGATTATGGCCAGATCTGAGTTTTCTAACCCAGTCTTCGTCGCGATGGCCACGATTTGTGCACCCGTCACACCTTCTGAGTTGGCGTCGCCGCGCAGCTTTTCCCACGCTGCGTTGCTTCGAGACATATCGTCTGGTGGAATCGGACCAAGCTCCTCAGTTTCATCCATCTCTTCTTGTGCGTCCGCATAATCATCCATGGGCGTTGTGGGTGCGGCCGAACCTTCTTCTGACGCGCCGAAAATTGATCCCTGGAATGTCAAAGCGGCGCTAGGGGTGGCGAAGACGGAGTCATTCTCGTTCGCCTCTGGAGCATCGAAACCGTCGTCGAAACCAGAGGGCGGTTTTTGAGCCGTCATGAAGGCGTCGTCCGTGGACTCATCGGGGTTCCACGACACCTCTTCACGTGGAGGCGACACCGCGAAGTCATTCTGCCACTGCTCGTCCGCGTTAGAGGTGAAGGCTTCGTTATCAAACGTTGTGAATGCGTCACTCCCATCGATGCTCTTCGTTTGAGTCGCTGCGAATAAATCCTCAGGCGGCGACCGTTTCTCATCGCTCGTGACGTCCGCGCCACTGAATTCCAGAGAAACACCATACACATCATCGGTACTTTCCGGCTTGAACTCTTCGAACGCGCTGAAGGAGTTCTCGCGCGGAGCGCTTGATGCAACAAGAGCTCCCGACGACGCCATCGGCTCAGGATCCTTCAGCTCAGGCTCGGGCTCGTCCATCGAGAATGATCGGAACTGCCTGTCAGCCGCTGGGTCGGTGTCAAACGCGGTAGTGTCGAAGGCATCTGATTCGCCAGCCGGGGCGAATAAATCTGATTCATCCATTGGGATGAATGATTCTGACTCGCCCATTGGAGCGAACGCGTCCTCTGCAGGCGCAGAACCGAAGACGTCGTCTCCGCGCGCCGAAGGCGCTGCGAACGCGTCTGTCTCGTCGAACGGTTCTGAATCAAAGTCTGTGTCAAAGGCTCCAGACTTGGTACCAGCAACTGGGGAAACTTCGAAATCAACAAAAGATGGAAGACGCTCATGCTTTGGCTCTGGTTCGAAATTCGTTGAAGATACTTCCAGAGCGTGCGCGAGCGCTGAGTGCGCCGAATCAAGAACAATGTCCTCTTCGTCGCCCGCTGCGCCCTCCGCCTCTTCCAAAGCTACCGCCTCGAGACGTTTCATGATCTCTTCGTACGTCGCGATGGCTTTCTCAGCGGTATCTTCCGCCTCGGTTTTATAAATCTCATAGCGGTCTCCCGACGAGCGAAGCGCTTGGATTTGAGCGACGAACGCGGCTGACTTTGGGAGCGTCTCGCGTAATTTCTCAAGCGCGGCATTTAGCGCATTCCGCTCAGCGTCAAGCGCGGCTTTAGCCACGGCAAATTCTTCCTGCGTTTCAGCAATCTCACGCTCGATGCGTGACGATTCCTGCGATACCAGTTCTCTGAGTTCTTGAAGCTCCGCGCGTTTGGACGCGATGAGAACGTCGTTGTCCGCCTTATCCCTAACATTTTGCTCCTGTTTATCCTTCGCGATTGCGAGTTTTTCTTCGAGCTCGTCGTGCTCGAGCTTCAACTTTTCCAAACCCAAATCTCGTTCCTCCTGTTGCTCCCGGAACTTCTCCTCCGCCGCATCGATCTGCGCCTCGACATCGCTGAGAGCCTTCTGCGACGCCAAGTAATTAAGTTCCATCTGCGACCGAATCGCATCGATTTTTGCGTTGAGCTCGGCCAAGGCGCTCTCCTTGGCATTCATTTCTTCTTGATGCGTCTGTTCCTGAGCATCCATCGCGGCGTCTTCCATCTGAAGAGCAGTCTCCGCCTCGACAACCTTGTCGTTGAGCGCCGAAATCTCCAACGCCTGAGATTCAGCGAGCTTTCGACGTCTCTCAAGCGCTTGTCGCACGGCTTCCGTTACTTCTTGATGTGCCGTTCTCTTCTCCTCGAGTTGAACTTTGTGGGTGGCCAAATCGCTCTCCATGGCAGATTGCACGGCCTCAAGCTCTGCCTTGGCCAATGCTATCGTGGCCTTGAGGTCAGATGTCTCTTGTTCGAACTCGGCAATAGCTTTCGAGGTTTGCTCCTTCTCCTTCGCCGCGTCAGCCTTGTACTTTTGAAGCTTATCGTGAAGGTCATCCATCAATCCCGGATGAGCCGCAGACTTTGCCTCCCGTTTAGCGATGCAAGACTCTATCTCGGCCTGCAGTGACTCCAACTGCTTCTCGATGCGTGACTTCTCCATTTCGAGCTTCGAATTCACTGCTTCCAACTCTCGGAGCGCAGCGGCTTTCGCTCTATCGGCCTTTGCCACCTCGACCGCGCGCTTCATCAAAGCTTGAGATGCGTCGGCGGCAGCCTTGTCAGTTTGCATTTTGATCGCGCGAGTCTCCTCTTCGATCTTCGTCAGCTTGTCCTGCATCGCCTTGACCGGAAGCGCGGCAACCGCGGATGCGTTTGCGACTTGGGCCTTGAGACGCTCGTACTCAGAAACAGTCAACTCGTATTGAGTCTTCTTCGCGGCGATGGCTTCCATGGCTTCGCGCTTCACGCTCCCTTCGCGTTGCACGAGCTCGGCGTGCTGTTTCCGCGCAGCATCTAGTCGAGCCGTCGCATCACGTTTTCTCCTCTCGGCTTCTTCTTCCGCTCGTTCAACCGCTTTTCGCGCAGCGGCAATGTCCTCATCGGCGGCTTCAATGGCTCTCGTAGCTCGAGCGATGCGAGCGTCTGCTGCGGCTTGAGCAGCCTCAGCCGCTTCTTTTTCACGTTTGGCGCTCTGCGTTTTCATTTCCGCCTCGCGCTCGAGTCGCGCGGCGTCGTCATATCGTGCAATCGGAAGCGCCTCGTTGAAAGACATCGGGCTGGTCGCCTCCAACGCGGTCGCGCCCTGCTTGGGTGGTCCCATGCTCGAGAAGAAGTTGTCATCCGCCGCAGACGAGGACGTGTCGTTCGTCAGCGCCGCAACGGGCGCGCTCGGGGTCGCAACGGGCGTCACCGGCGTCTTACCCTGCGCCCGAATGAGCGCGTAGACGTCGTGCATGGCCACGGCGAAGGCGTCCCGGTCGACCGAACTCCCACCCCGTGTCGCCCGAGCGACGCACAACTGCACCGAGAGCAGAGGCAACGCCGCCTTGGAGAGAAATTTCACCGCCGTGTCCACGCTCACGTTCCCCTTACCCTCCGCGTCGATCGTCCGGAAGTGTCCAAAGTACTTCTTACGCTCAGCCTCCGTCATGGGCGCCGCGTGAACCGTCGCCGCGCTCGCGCTCGCGGGCGTCCGTGGCGTCCCTCCGAACCCGCTCTTTTCCCCGCTCGGTGTCGTCATCCCCTCGCTCGGCATCTCGAGCTCCAACGCTCGCGCCACGAGCTCGAGGCACTGTCCCAATTCGCTCGGAGAGCTCAGCGCGCCCGTCCCGCGAGTCGATGCCTTCCAGATCTTACTCAACTCGCCGTCGCGTAAACCGCTGGGTCTTAGGAACGCGACCGCTTGCTCGCCTCTGATCGTCCCAGTTCCGGTGACGTTGGCTCGTTCGAACACAGTTCGGAGCTTCGTTTCGTCGCCGATCGTTGCTCGCAAGCTCTCGGGAGTCCACTGAAACGACGAACCGCTCATGATCGACGAAAATCTTAGATTTTTGGTGAATTCGTCGACGCTCGACGCGTTGCAGTACGCGCGCGGTGATGAAACCGGACGCGCGCGCTATCGAGAGTGACACGTTTGATCGCTCCGGCGCGCGCGCGGGTCGCGTGAAGCTCGGCGGTGTGCGGCACGTGTGACTGAAACGATTCCGGAAGATTTGGCGCGTGCTTTTTGACTCTGAAGTCTTGTCGATGGATGAATACAGCGAACATTCACGCAATGTAGACGACATTGAAGGCTTTTCTAGCGGATTCGGGTAAAGATTTGAACGATCGGTCGATGGCACGCGCGATCTTCGCGCGCGCAGGCGCCATGCCGAAGACGAAGGCGTGCACGACGGACGCGTCGGCATCCGTCTCGGCCCAACGGGCCCAACCGGGCTTGTGTTCGGTAGCATTGATCTCGATCGTTGAACGATCGGACGGCGTCTGTGCGGTGATTTCCAGTTGAAGATCACTGCACCACGCCCGTAGGGTCTCGCCGACGCCGTAGAGAACGATCTTTTTGACGGGTGTTTTCTTCGCAAGAGCGTATGGGAGTTGACCGTCAAGAGCAGCGGCGGCGAAAAAGTACGCCTTGCACTTTCTAAGCTGCTCGTGCGAGCATCGACTGTGCGTGCGCGTGCTCTGGTTGGCGTATTGGCGCCACCAATATAACTTTTGAGGAACTTTGCCGGCGTTGAATCCGTTTTGGAACCATCGATGCCAGAAGTCGGAGTCCACCGGCCACCAGCGGTGCGGCTGGGCGTCGGCGACTGCTTCGCCCGCAGGCGAAGCGGCAAAGTCCAACACCGTCCCATTTCGGAACCATAAATCTCTATACAGCGCTCCACCATGTGTCTTCGCGCGGAATTCGTTCAACTTTTCCCGTCTAAACAGCGCCGAGGCCCTGAGCGCGGGAATCTCTAAGAATCGCTCTCGCGCCAAGTCTTCCGGCGTGAGCAACCCGTTCTGCCACCGCTCGAACCGCTTCATTCCCTCTCGTTCCCATCCACACAGCCTGATTTGCGACGTCACGCAATCCCACTCAGGATTCTCCTTCTGCAGCGCGCGCACGAGCGATGCGAACGCGTGGGGCGGACGTAAATCATCACTCTCCATCTCGCCCACAAACGCCCCCGAGCTCGCTTCGAAGCACGCGTTCAACGCTAACCCTTGTCCGCTCGGACTCACCCCCGGATCGCGATCGATCGCGATCACCTTCATCGTACACGACCCAGAAGCCACTTTCGCCACCTCTTCGACGTCGTACGTCCGCATCTTCGTCGCGTCGTCCGTCGACGCCTCCGCCTCGAATTCGTCGTCCTCCGCCTCCGCCCCCCGCGTTCCTCCCTCCCTCTCCAAACACGTCACCTCCGTCTCCACCGCGCGCGCCGCCATCGCGCGCTCGAGCGCGAGCAACCACGCTCTGCTTCCATCCGCGCTCGCGTCGTCCCCGACGATGAGTTCCAGCGCGACGTCCCTCTGCGTCAACACGCTCCGCACGGCGGCGGTGAGCCAAGGCATGGCGTTTCGACACGGCATCAACACGCTCACCGTCGGTTCCAGTCGCGGTGCCGCGTCCGTCGTTCGACGACGCTTCATCGTCGCCGCCGTTCCGCGCGCGCGGAAGCGCGGGCGAGGCGTCGGCGTCGACGACGCGGCACTCGGCGACGGATGCGCGGGCGAGTGCCGCCGACGGTTCGCGTCACCGCCGCGTCCGCCGCACCGCGCGCGCGCGGCGCTCGACGGGGCGTCGCGCGCGCGCGTCCGACGCGCCGCGCCCGTCCCGTCGCGGCGGCGGCGAGGGAGACGATGGGGGGCGAATGGGCGAACGCGGATGAGGAGTTCGTTACGCTCGAGCCGAGGCACGACGACGACGACGACGGGGCTGGAGAGATCGAGCTGGTGGATCTGCGGGGGGGCGACGGAGACGATGCGCGCGGGGGGTCGATCGGATCGACGTCGGGAGGGACGGGTGAACGAGGACGTTGGAAACCGCTCGCGGCGGCGATGGCGTTCGCGATTGCGACGTGTTACGCCGACCGGTCGAACATCTCGGTCGCGATCGTGGCGATGAAGGATCAGTACGAATGGACGAAAACGCAACAGGGTTTGGTGCTGAGTGCGTTTTTTTACGGGTACGGGGCGACGCAGATCGTGGGTGGGAGATTGGCGGACGCGAGAGGCGGTCGGGCGGTTTTGCTCGGGGGGGTGTGCGCGTGGAGCGCGGCGACGGCGCTCACACCGGGCGCCGCGGGGTTAGGTCTAGCGCCGCTGATAATCATGCGCATATTGCTCGGTGCCGGGGAGGGGGTGGCGTTTCCAGCGACGCACGCGGTGATCGCGCGCGAGGTCCCGGTGGCGAAACGGTCGACCGCCGTGGCGGCGGTCACGGCGGCGAGCTACGCGGGCGCGGCGTTCGCCTTCGCGGTGACGCCCGGGTTGGTGAGTGAGTTCGGGTGGTCGAGTGCGTTTTATAGTTTTGGTGCGATCGCGCTGTTCTGGATCCCGATTTGGCTAGCGATGCAGGCGTCCGACTCTAATGAACAGAGCAAAGGCGACGAATCGCGTCGTTTGATGTCGACCGACGCGTCTGTGTCCGAGGCTACGTCGATGGAGATCTGGCGCGAGCTCGTTTCACGTAAAGAGGTCAAGGCGATATGTGTCGCGCAGTTCACGCAGAGCTGGGGCATGTACGGTTTGCTCTCATGGTTACCCACGTACTTCAATGAGGCGCACGGCGTGGACATTGCGGATCTCCCTGCTTTCACGTTCGTACCTTACATCCTCCAGGGCGTCCTGGGCATGGGTGTGGGCATTCTCGCGGACGATCTCATTAACGTTAAGAATGTTCCGGTGAAAACTGTTCGACGCGTGGCACAGTGTACCGGCACTGTCGGCCCAGCCATCGCGCTCCTCGTCGCCGCATCACCCGCGGCGACGCACGATCCCATCCTTGCCGCCGTCTCCGTCGACATCGGACTCGCCCTGAGCGCGCTCACCCTCGCCGGCGTCTCAGTTTCTCACCTAGATATCGCTCCCCAGCACGCGGGCATGGTCTTCGCCACGGGAAACACGATGGCCACGCTCGCCGGCATCATCGCCGTCCCGCTCAGCGGCTTGGTCTTGGACGCGAGCGATCAAAACTGGTCCCTCGTCTTCGCCATCATCGCCGTCGTCTACGTCTTTGGCGCCGTTTACTGGTTCTTCAACCTCGGTGACGAACCACTCACGCTCAAAACGGACCCATAGCCCGTCCGCGCGATCGAAACCGACCGTGTAGCATAACTTTTGAGAGTCGCGCGTAGCGGCCTCCCAGCTGTCGCCCTCACGCCATTTCACGACGCTCACGGAGTCATGTCCGATACCATACCGAGCGCACGCGCGCGCGACATGCGCGAGCGATCGAGAGACGTGTGCGACGACATCATGAACGCCGTACGTGCGACGAACGCGCGCTCGGCGACGCGCACTCGGCGACGCGACGCGATGACGCTCGATGCATTTGAAATTCGAGAATCGTTCCCCCGGGAAGCGGTTCGATCGTTCCGCGTCGACGCGCGACTGACGGTGGGATCATCGACGGCGCATAGGTTGAACACTACGCCGCGGAAGGTTTCGATGCGTTGGAGAAGACGCTGAGCGAAGAGACGGCGCCGGACGAGCGCACGAAGGCTGCGTTCCGACACGGTTTGGACGCGTTGTACGCAAAGCTGCAGTTGAAGATTGGGGATCATTTCACGCGGTTCGCGAGTCACGCCAACGCGACATGCTTCTCGATTCCGAGCGAAGTGATCGAGTACGAGACGCACGTGCCGGAGATCGATGCGCTGCCGAGCGTGAGCGAAGAGGAGGAGGCGGCGCTGGACGCCGAGCTGCGGTCGCTTCGGGCGCGGACGAGCAGGGCGAGAGCACTCCTGAGGTCGAGCGAGAAGGAGTGCAAGGCTCTGGATAAGGAGTTAGAATCTCACGCGGAGGTCGTTGAGCGAATTCAAGCCATTACAGGCGCAGTCGGCAAAGAAAATGCCAGGGTGAAGGAAGGTTTGAGCGCGACAGGAAGCATCGTGCACACGGCGAAGCAGTTGACGCCGCTCTTGACGCAGGCGGAAACGATGCAGCGAACGGGGGGATTTATGCCCGAGCGTTCGTCGAGCATCGATCCAGTGGTGATGGCTAACAATGCGGTAAAGCAGCACCACATTCAGGGAAGTTCTTTGAGCGTGCTTCGCTCTCTGAATGAAAAATTAGCTGCCCAAACGGCGTGAAGCGGCGTCGCATGTAAACAATAACAAAAACGGTTTTAGTGATTATGGCACTCGTCGCGCGCGCGCGTCGCGTCGAACGACGCTCTCTCGATAACACGATTTGATGGAATGAATGTTTCTTTGTTGATTTGCAAGGGAAAAACTTCGAGGTAGCACGCTGGCTAACCTGACGAAACTACTCGTCACCATCCCTTCATGTGTCCCGGGTCTCTGTACGTCCCAGGAATCCCACCCTTGGGCATGATTTTTTCTGTGAACCTCGCCCAGTACATCTTGAGCGTGTCTAGCAGCATCAGGAGCGCGTTTCGAGTCTTCTTCCCTCCGCCTCGATTCGGGTCGTACCCGCCAAGATTCCCACCTTGCGGCGCTCCCGGAACGGTGGCCCCTCCCGGCAACACGCTCTCGTTGGCGGCGATGCTAATGAAGAATCCAAACGGCACGAACCACACGATCATAAAGAAGAACCCGAGCACGTATTCTGTGCTGTGGTACGTTCCGTGAAAGTGTCGCACCCACACCCAGTGCGACGCCGCGAGCGCCGCGAGCGACCCCAAGAACTCCACGCTCGTGAAATCTATGAACGGAAACCGCCTGAGCATCCTCGAGTACGCGAACTGCGACCCCGCCGAGATCGCCAGCGTAAAAAACGGCAATCGATCGAATACGAGCAACAACGCGTGCAAGCCGTACGACGCCTTGATCGAGTAATCCAGCACCCGCTTCGTCAACCGCGTGTACTCCTCCACCATCTCCGCCAGGTAGTACAAACCTACGTCGCGCGCGCACCGATCATCGTTCGCGTCAGTCACCGCTCGTCGTCGTCGCGCGTCGTCGTCGCGCCATCGCCACGCGCGTTGAATCACATCGACCTCGCGTCCATCAACACCCGTCGCCGCCTCGTCGTCGCCCGCCCCGCACGCACCGGTCGCCAGGCACACCGCGACGAACACCAAGAACAGGTACCCGCCGATGTACACCAACGCATCGCTCACGAACTCCATCGTCGACGCGTCTCGAGCGCGTGGAGGTGTGGGGACACCGATCGCGAACGTTCCCTCGGGAAAACCTCACATCGCGCGCGGACGCACTCGCGCGTGACGCACTCGCGCCCCCGGACGCGGCGCGGCGACGCGATCGACGCACCGGGCGTTCGATGAGCGCGTCGACGCGGACGCCCGACGCGGAGGGAGCGAGCGAGGCGCTCGATCGCGTCGTGTTGAGGTACCTGGCGAAACGTGGGTACAAATCAGCGGCTGGAGTCTTGCGAGCCGAGGCGGGGTTGGCGCAGACGGTGAGCGAGGACGATTATAAGACGGGGATGTCGCTCGCGAGCGCGATGGGGGCGGACGCGGCGCTGAGCGATCACTTGTTGTGGCGAAGCGAGCAAGAGAGCGATCCGAGGTTCGCGATCGCGGCGTACGCGAAACTGCGAGATTGGGCGCACGGGAGCCTGGAGAAGTACAAGGGTGAGCTGTGTCGGATCTTGTTTCCAGCGTTTGCGCACGTTTTGATCGATCTCGTGAAAAGAGGGTTCGGGGAGGAGGCGCGGGAGTTTTACGTGGAGCACCACGCGGACCACATGCGCTTGTACGGGGAAGATTTGGCCGCTTTGAGCGCGCTGAGCGAGCCCGAACACATCGAGAGCGATCCGATCGCTAGAAAATTTTTGGAGAACAAGGCGAGCGTGCGGATGACTTCGTACTCGTTTGATTTGCTGGTAAAGTTTTTGCACGCTAACGACCTGATGGCGGTGCTCGCGGTGCTCAACGCACACCTGTGCGTGGACGTAGTCAAGGGTGATCCAAGCCCGTTCGAAGACGATGCCGACGGCGCAGTCGTGATCACTGGTCGAACGCCCGAGGCACAGCGCAAGTTTAACAGCGTGAAGGGCCGATGGGGTTTGGTGGAGTCGTGCCTGGAGATCGAACGCATTCGACAGCATAAAAAGGATACCAAGGAGAGGGAGAAGGAACGCGCAGCCAAGGCTCGGGAAGAGGCGAAGAAGTCTAAGAAGAAGAAGAAGAAGAACGACGGCGGCGCGGAGGAGGCGAACGAGGCTGAGGTCGACGAGGATGGCGAAGGCGAGGGTGACGATGAGGAAATGCCGGACGTACCTGAGAAGAAGGAGGCCGAGTACCCGGTTGCGATGCTCGAGAATCCGCCAAACACGATCCGAAGTAAAGTACCGCTTCCTCAGCTCGACTACGACGCTTACGAGGAAGCCGTCGAGGATTTGAGATGGCGAGTGAAGCTCACGAAGGATACCCTTCCTACTGTATGCTTCTTTACTTTTACGCACGCGCACGGTTTGCTCACGTGCTCTGATGCGACTGCGGACGTGAAGCATGTTGCGGGTGGGTTCACCGACTCCGTCGTTCGCGTGTGGCACTTGGAGGAGGAAGATGAGGACTATAAGAAGTATAAGAAGGAAAAGGGACCGATTGATCGAGACGCGAAGGTCGCGCGCTCAATCCCAATGACTGAGTTCGTCGGGCACAGCGCCCCGGTGCATCAAGTCGCGTTCAGCCCGTGTGGCAAGTTTCTCCTTTCTGCTTCGAGAGATTGCCATGTGCGAGTCTGGAGCATGGAGCTGAAGATTTGCTTGTGTGCGTACGAGGGCCATCTGCATCCAATTTGGGACGTGCAGTGGAGTCCGTTCGGATATTACTTCGCCACAGCGTGTCACGACCGCGTGGCCAGGGTATACGCCATGGACGCTCCGTTCCCTCGACGCATGTTCGTCGGTCACTTGTCGAACGTGGATTGCATCGCGTGGCATCCAAACGTAAACTACGTTGCCACCGGCTCAGCCGACCGCACGTTGCGACTGTGGGAGATGAGCGATGGTGAGTGCGTTCGTGTGTTCGCGGGACACGCCGCCGGTGTGCGATCCATAGCATTTTCCCCCGATGGTAGGACCATCGCGAGCGGTGCAGATGACGGACGAGTGTACTTGTGGGATCTCGCACGCGCCACGTGCGTCGCAAGCCTCAAAGGCCACGTCGGGCCGGTATACTCCATGGACTTTGCTGGAGGTGGCGGATTGGTCGTCTCCGGCGGCGCCGACGACACCGTCAGAGTCTGGGACGCGTCGACGCCGGAGACGAATGAAGACGACGCGACGAACGCACCGCCGCCGCTATCTGCAGTGGCCAAGCGCTTGCCGCTCAAAACGTTTCCAACGAAGAACACGCCCGTGTTCAAGGTCAAGTTCTCGCGCCGAAACCTGTGCCTGGCCATGGGTGCTCGCAGATCCAAGACGGAGTCCTCGTAGTGATCGCGTCTTGTAATAATTGCATCGACCAAGTTAGAATAATCGGAAGATGGACCTCAACGCGAGCGCGGCGCCGAGGACCGCCAACCGTCCTCACTCCTCAGCGTACATGCGCGCCTCGCTACAATCGCCGCGTGCGCTCGTCCGCGCGCGCGTCGCGTCACGAATACCGTCCAGAGCCTCACGCGTCGACCGCGCGATCCAATCGCGAGCTACGAGAGACGACGTCAACGACGACGAAGGATTCTTCGTTCCGAAACGGCGTGAACGAAAAAGGTGGTCGACGGCCGAAAACGTCGACGCGGGCGACGCGAGCGCGGCGGCGAGGTCCACGACGTCCGACGCAACGACATCGTCGACGTCGACGTCGTACGAGCGCGCGTATGCGAGCGAAGAGGTTCTCAAAGAAGCCCGCGTCCAGCAGAGACGGAACGAGCGGGACGCGTACGTCGAGCGCGAGCGCGCGCGACGGGAGCGACGAGAGAAGTGTGAATTAGTGATCATCGTAGAGGGCGGAGCGGACGTTCGTGCGGTGCGATCTAGGGGTGGGTTCACGAGGGAACGAGCGAAGGTTCTGGCTATTAGACATCGAGGCGCGTTTCGGCGACGACCGAACGCGGACTGGGAGGTTCGCGACGAACGCATGGATGAGATCGCGCGCTTGCGCGAAAAATACGACGCACCGATCGTCGTTCTGTTCGATTGCGATGCGGCGGGGCGGCAGCTCAGAAACGCGTTTCTAAAACGGTTCCCGGAGGCGTCGCACGCCTTTTTGGGCGCGCACGAGAGCTCGGCAAAGGAGGATACGAAGTGGCACGCCGTGGGCAACGTCGGCGTCGAGCACGGTGAGGGCGAGGACATCGCGCGCGCCATAGCGAACGCGAGAAGAGCGGACCCGACGCGATCGGTGTTCACGCGAGCGAATTTACTTGAGTGGGGACTCGTGGCGGATGACGCGCGAGCGGATGAAACCTGGGCCGAGTTCGGAGGCGTTCGCGAGCGACGAAGATTAGTGGGCGAGTACCTGGGCGTGGGCGAATGCGACGGTCGACAGTTGATTCGACAGCTGAATCTCTTTTTCACCGAGGACGAGGTGCGCGACGCGATGGAGGCGTTACCGAAACGCGGCGAACCGGTGCCGCGCAAGATGACGGACGGGCGCGCCGACGCGACGCGTCGTCAAGGCGACGACGACGCCGACTCGAGCGAGGACGAGTTCGATATCGACTCCCTTGGCTTCGATCCCATGGCGTACATCCCGCCCGGTCGAGCACCGCCCGGATTCGAGTAGCGAACGCGTCGCGTTCGAACGAACCAACCGTCGCGTCCGCGCACACGCGCGACGCGCGAACGAAACACCGTCGACGACCGACCCCTCCCTACGATCAAAATTACAACGCGCCACCGAGATCGACTTCAAAACACCGCATCTTCCCTCAGTACCCCGTGAGCTTCCCCCCCCGGCCGACGATCTCGCCCACGGCGAACCACGCGTAGAGCTCCGCCGCGAACACCGCCCCCGTCGCCGCCGTCGCGACGTCCAGCTCACCCATCCGCGCCCGCATCCCGAGCTCCTTCACCACCTCCACCTCCGCCGCCGCCGCGCGCATCGCTCCCGGGACGCGCGCCAGATTCGTGTACACGAACTCTCGACCGAGCCGCTTCGCGCGCGTCGGATCGCGCACGACGTACTCGGCGTTCTCCCGCATCGTCGCCTCGTACGCGCGCGTCACCGGCGCGCGCACGGCGTCGAACGCCGCGCTCGACGCGCGCACCGCGCGAGCGGTCGCCCGCATCGCGCGCTCGCGCACCCGATGCATCGCCCGCGCTCGCCTCTCGCGCGATCGCGTCGCCGGGACGACGGCTCGGGCGGTCGAGACGTGTGCGCGTGTGGGCGAACAGTACGCGTACGCGTCTCACTGTTCGCCCACACGACGAGGGTCCACGCGCGAAAGAACCCTCGACCGTGACACTGTTCGCCCACACGACGAGGGTCCACGCGCGAAAGAACCCTCGACCGTGAGACTGTTCGCCCACACGATGGATGTCGCGACCGCGCGCATCGCCCACGGGCGCGCGCGACGACGTCGACGGCGCGCCCGTGGGGTCGCGCGCGAGTTCGCGTCCGTTCGCGACGCCGCCGACGCGCGGTCGCGACGGCGCGCGCGCGCGGTCGAGGCGCGACCGCCGCGCGGGGGGCGCGCGGAAGAGGGGATTCACGCGGTGGGCGTCGGCGCGATTGGTGATAATCGCATCCATCGACCGCGACCGCGTCGGCGTCTGGACGCGCGATGGGGACCGCGCGCGCGGGAAAGGGCGAAGGGGATGGACCGCGGACGTGGGGGAGAGCTGGGGGGCGCGCGCTCGCGGGCGCGCTCGCGGTGGTCCTGTGCGCGCTCGCGATGGGGTGCGCCCGGGCGGGCGGCGCGGCGGGCGCGGCGCGCGACGGCGCCCTGGATGAGGCGCGCGCGTCTTGGGCGGGGAACGGTATTTTGGCGAGCGTGCTCGCGAACGCGGCGTTGGATGGGCGCGCGGCGGTGCGATCGTCGTTGATGGTGGCGGCGAAGGTTTTCGCGTGCGCGAGCGCGGCGTGCGCGGTAGCCGCGGTGGCGCCCGAGCGACGGGCGCGCGCGGATGATGGTGGTGCCGCGACGGCATCGCGTGATGTGAGTGCGAAATCGTCGTCGACGCGCGACGCGAGGTCCGAGAGCTCGCGTCGTAAGAGTGGAGATTCGCCGAGGGAGAACGAGGGACGGTCGCCGCGAGGGCATAGAACCATAGAAGAGTTGGCCAGGGCGAAGGAAGCCGCCAAGGAACGAAAGCGACGCGCGCGGGAGGAACAAGAGTTGATTGCGAAACGAGAAGAGGAAGAGCGCGCGGAGATCGCGCGTTTAGTGATCCAAGAACGTGCGAGGAGGGAAGCCGAGCGAGCCGCTTTGGCGGAGGAAATAGCGACTAGAGCGCGAGAAGCGGAGGAAGCGCGCGCGAAGGCTGAAGCGGAGGAAGCGGAGAGACGTGCGAAAGAGCAACTCAAGCGACATGCTCTTGAAAAGAAACCAGTCGCGGAGAGCGCTGTGGAATCGGACAAGCAGAATGGCGGTAAGTCGTCGAGCGAGCCCAACGGCTTGAAGAAAATTCCCGCTCCGATGGGACAGAGTAAAACCGGAAACAAAACGACGTCTCCACCGCGAACCAAACAACCGGCACCGCCGCGTTCGACCGGGTTGACGCTCCGAAAGATTCCGACGCCTCGCATGGTGCCATCTGGTCAGGCGATACAGTCAAACGCTCACGCGCACGCGACGCCCGCGGCGCCTCTGCCTTCGAGCGCGCCGCCGTCGCTGCCGCCGAAGGGACTGCCACCACTTCCGCGAGGACCACCTCCGGATTACGCGCGCGTCGAACCGCCGCTACCGCCGATGGCGCCTATGGACGCCGTGCGACAAAATCTCGTGTCGTTTGGCACGAGCGGTCCGCCACAACACAGAGCCGAGTCGCCTGCCTCGCAACCTGAGCCCGTGTCTCCGAAATCACCGACTGGATTAAATGCACCGCCAGGGTTCGAGAGTGCGATGCCGACGACAATGAATCCGTACGACCAGTGGGCGGCCGTCGACAGCACGATTCAGTCATTCTTAGCCAGTACAACGGGCGTTGAGGACGACCCGTTCTTGTACGCCTCGAGAAGCGCCGACACGAGTGCGTACGACAACATTTTCGCACCGCGAAAGTTGAGCGCCGACGTCGAACCCGAGGCACCGCCGTTGCCGCCGACGCCGCACCCCGAGATCTTGGCCAACGTCTTTCGGGACGCCCTGTGAGAACTCGGAACGCGCGCCCACGACATTGTCATAGATCTAGACGCACAGTGGCTCACGGTACGCCGGATAATTCGAACATATACATCAAATGAAAACCACAAAACCACGCCGTCGACGCTCGATGATCGAACGTGGGAGCCCAGCCGAGCGGTTCTTCTACGCTTCTCGTGCGTCGCTCGCCTCACTTCACACCATGCGCGCCGTCGTGACCGTCGATCCATCGCTTCGCCCGTCGTCCTCGTCCGCGAACGACGTCCTGCGGCGACCCGCGCGGCGCTCTGTCGCCCTCCGAACCAGAGCGCGCGTCGAGGGGACGACGGAGAAGACGCCGACGGCGCAGAGCGCTCACTCCAGGCGGGACGTGTTACGTGTCGTGTTCGTCGCCAGTTCGCTCGCCTCCGCGCCCGCGCGCGCGGTCGTGGACGCGGGTGATTGGTCTTCTCCGGGATTGCGCTCGGATGGGCCGCCGGCGAAGTACGAGCGACGACCGAGCGGGTTGGTGTTCGAGGAAGTGAACGAGGGCGCGGGCGAGGAGGCGAGAGCGGGCGACGTAGCGGTGTTCGAGTACGTCGTGCGCAGGGCGAACGGATACTTCATCTACGCCACTATCGATTGCGGGATCGGGTGCGGGAAGGGTGATCCGGTTGAGTTCGAGCTCGGGCCGAATGGGCGACTCATACCCGGGTTGGATGAGTTACTGACCGGGATGAAACCGGGCGGGAAGCGACGGGCGTTAATTAAACCAGAGATCGCGTACGGGGGCGCGTACAAGTCGTACGAACCTCAACCTCCGGAATACGGCCAAAAGAGGCAACTCGAGAGACTTTCAGCGAGCAATGAACCTGTCATATTCGAGGTGAAGCTCGTGAAGACGCGTCAAAAGCGTCGATGAGAATCGCTCGCGAAAGAATCGATGTAAGACCGACGCGCGCGGTGTGCGTTAAATAACATCTAGGAATCCCTCACTCGTTCCCTATCGCATCGATCGTCTCAGAGCGCGTTTCGCGATTGCATGTCGAGCAATTCAGCCTCTCCCTTTTCCAAAATCTTCAACAAGTAATCCTTGTTGTACACGGTGTGCGCGTAGTCGTACGGCACCCCGTTCTCTCGGTTCACCGCGATCTGCACCCCGACCTTCGCCTGCGCGTTCCACGTGTTCGCGTATCCATAGAACGACTTCCCGTGATGGTACTGATACTTCGCGAACCACGCCCGGCGCTTATCCTGAAAGTTATCCAGATACGCGTCGTCGCTCTTCGCCCCCGTCAAGATTTGTCGCGTCATGTCGATGATCTCCCGCGTCTCGTCCACGAACTCCGGCGGGGTCTCCGCCTCGGCGCGTCCGACCGCGATCGCGCCCGTCGCGAGCGTCATCAACGTCGCCACCGCCCGTCGTCTCGACGTCCCGTCCCCGGCCTCGGCATCGCCGTCGATCATTCGTCGCGTCGCCGTCGTCCGCGTCGCCGTCGCCCGTCCTCGCCCGACGCGCGCGCCCGCGCGCACCGATCGCGTCGTCGACGCGCCCATCGTCGCCATCGTTCGCGGTCGACGCGCGCGCGCGTGTCGCGATCGTCGTCCCGTCGACGCGCGTCCCGGTCGTCGAAAAACGATCGAAAGGGACATCACAATACGCCGACTTGTGCCGAGTCTACATGCCGGCACCAGGACCATACTCAGCAGTTTCGTCACTTTTAAGCGTGCTTTGCGGTCGCGTGTCGTACACATTCGGTCTTCGAGGGCCGTCCGTATGCGTGGATACGGCGTGTTCGTCATCGCTCGTCGCTGCACACACTGCGAGCGCGTACTTGCGTGGCCGAGAGTGCGATGATGCCCTCGTCGCTGGCGTGAGCGTGAATGTGGGTGTGGGGACTCTCCTGCTGGCCGCGGCGGCCAGCATGCTCTCGTACGACGGTCGATGCAAGACTCTAGATGCGAGTGCAGACGGATACGCCAAGGGTGAGTGTTGCGTAGTCCTTCGCGTGACATCGAATACGTCTCTTGACGTGGACGCTCTCGCGCGCGATGCGAACGATCCATCTCCCACCCATATCGCCCTGGCGCAACTCGAGCACACGGGCGTGAACCAAGACGGCCGATCGAGCTCGCTCACCGCTCCAAACGGGCCGTCACAGCAAGCACTCATGGCCGACGTGCTTGTTCGCGCTGGTCTGCACGCGCGCACGATCGGCCGGCTGGAAATGCACGGCACTGGTACGTCGCTCGGCGACCCCATTGAGGTCGGCGCCGCTCTTGAGGTTCTGGCGTCGCCGTCGATGGAGTCCCAGCCCTCGAGCGCTCGAGCGCTCACGTTTGAAGGCGCTAAGCCTCGCGTTGGTCACTGCGAACCAGGAGCAGGCGTCGTTGGGCTGCTGTTCGCGACAGCACATGTAACGACGCGCGCCACAGCGCGCTGGTCCATTTGCGCCAGCTCAATCCTCACGTGGAGGCCGCCGCTCGCCGCCACGCGCAGTCCC